GGGCCGACAGTGGACCAGACAGTCCGGAGTGTCTGTACGACCAGAGAGAGCCCAGGCATCCGTTGCAACTCCAGCACCCGGCGTACCTGGCGTCGGCTCATGGTCGGCTACTGCGTCACCCGTCTCCGGAGAGCACCCCACCGAGTAGTCACCATCTTCCACCCAGCACCACCGCCTCGTCGACAGGCAGCGGGGTCACCACCAAGCCCAGAATCTGGTCCTTGGCAGACATGGCGAGCAAAGACGGCGAACAGCAGAGTCCAAACGCGACGACGATGACGGGTCTGCCGTCTCCGTACAGCGGAAGCGGCGGAGGCGGTGGTGGAGGAGGTGGAAAGTTGGTGAGCCCTCTGGCGAGTCGTTTACCACCCCATCATCCTCTGCACCCTGCGATGCACTCGGGCACGCAGTTCGTCCGACCACATCCGGACTTCTACCGGAATCTTTATGGAGCCTCCCACCTAGGATCCGGGGACATGTCGTTGTTGGAGACGTACTCGAGGACTCTGGGCGGCTTGAGTGGCGTCATGCCACCCTCCACAGCCCCCAGTATACTGACGTCCACGTCGTCGGCCGTGTCCGCTAGCGGTAACGTTAAGCCCTTCACGATCAACGGAGGTAGCGGCGCTCCCGGTGGACCCGCCGTTCTTCTCACTACAGCGACCTCGGGACTGTCCCCGTCCTCCTCGTCGACGGCATCCTCCGGTGGGTCCGATCAGTCCCCTCATCCCAGCGGAAGTTTGCCGCCCACGCAGGAGCTCAAGTCTCCGGGACGAGTGTGATTCCCGTGAACCAACGAAGGACTAATATAATTGAAATTTCGAGAGACGGATCGCCGCGCAGCCATTCGACTCTGTGTGGTGTGGATGACAATAATAAGAGACTACAATCTTGTAATTAGTGTACAGTAATTGAACGAAGAACTTCTGAACGAGATACAGATTATCGACCCCTTATCCTCAATTTCCTGGCCCTCACGACTCCTAGTCTGTTTGTCTTCGTATTTTCGATTCCGCTTCCCGCAACTCCCGCTTCCTTTATCCTTTAGTTCCTACTCTCTCGTCCTCGGTTGTAAGCTCTCCTCTGTCTCTGACGGGAAGAAGGAAAAGAAGGAAAAATCGTAGGCCGGTTTATCTTCGTAGCAACAGCGATTGAAAAGAGAAGGAGAACTCTATTCCTAGGCGTGTCTACTTGACGAGTAATAATATACATAAAGAATACTATATATATAAATACACGATGATAATAATAATAATTATTTATGCGTTTGTAAATAGTAGAGAGGGCCCAGTAGAGAGCGTCCGGCCAGTGTATGTATTGTATGTAGAGTAGCTACAATATTATTATTATAATATTTGAGATCATAATTCATACTAACGACGACGATGATGATGAACATTATTATTATTATTCTGATTATTATTATTATTATTATTCTGATCATTATTATTGTTATTGCAATGTTTATAATATTATCGATTCACGTCGACTCGGTCGATCATGACGAGGTATGGATCGTCGATCGCTGTGACAGATTACGAAGGATACGTGGAGCGCAAAGATCCTTGGAAGTCGAGTTCAAAGTTTATTCTTTCGTAAGTATTATTTATTTATTCGATTCGAGAGACATCTCCTCAATCGGTGATGATTCGCAATCGACGACACCGTATCGAGGATTTTTTGATCTGCTCTTTCTTTCGGTTGCATAAATCGATCTTTCGTTATTGACGCGTTTCCATCGAACTCGCTCGACTCCGCTCGTAATCTGGCAGACTTAGAATTCGCGTTGCGCCCCGCTGTCGCGACAAAAAACGATCCGTTTGCAAGATGTACCTTGAACCCGAGGAAAATAGGGTAGACAGAGAACAAAAATACACATATAGACGTACTATCAGAGCTGGGAAATCCTCCTGGGCGAGGCGCGACGTTCGCAGGGCGCGGCGACTGTCAACATATCATGTCATGTCGAGAGTGAACGATCGCCATCACCTTTTAGTCATTCGTGTCCAAAATTCACGCGAGCTCGCTGATGCCACATTGGCAGATGGCTCGCAGACTGTGTCCTTTCGCAATAAACGAGTCATTATAAAAAAAAAACAAGAGAAAATACGTTTGGGATACCTCGTCATTCTGTTTTTCCCATCTATTCGTCCCCCTTTGATCGATCGTCTGTTCCCTTCGAGCGGCAACAGAAAATTACAGGGGACACTTCGGATGGAGAAAAAAGGTAAGTGATCTTGAAAGTGCGGGTAATTTATCTTTTATAGCTTTATTAAATACCACGAACATGCTTTTACTCTAGGTACATAATTACCTAATAAGTTTATGCTAGATATTACATCCTTAGCGAATTAGTTTTCACTAAGCTTTTAAATCTTGCTATCTATCATCCGAAATACTACTTCGTTGCCTAATCAGTTTTTCCCTGACCGATTTCCTTTTCGCAACGATCACCCGGATAATTCGTTCGACTCGGACCACATCGAACCGACCGCGATCGCGAATCATTATGCCGTTGGCTGGCTAATCGCGTACGCATGCATCCACTGCAGAGAAGGAGAAAGAGGAGAGACAATACGCGGCAGAGGAGGGGTCCAACGCAGAGGACAGTCGGCCAGCGGCGGCAGATGAATATGAAACGTGCCTCGTTCTTGGAACCCGGCCGTAAGATGTACTTATAAAAATGCAAAGCGACCGACTTCTGGGTGGTTGCGGGACAAGCTTGGTTATTAGTAAACATTTAAATCGACAATCGCTATAGGTATACAGGACAACAGGGAATGCCAGATTCTCTCTGTCTCTATCCCTGTTCCGTTCTTTTGCCCTCCTTGCTTTGGCCCTCTGTCGTTGTCTCACGACCGTGGCCGATTCCGTGTCTCCGTCCCGTTCTTGTTCGTTGCGAGAGAAGAGGAACAGAGACACGCATGGCCAGATCGACCATGGTGGAGGAAACAAGAAATCAAGCCGCGGGACCACCCGCCACGGCCTTGGGGGCACCGAGCCGCGGATCCCAAGGAGGTCCATCCCGTCTTCATGAATCAACTCGTTCCTGAATCGGCATAAACCTTCAAAGGGTTGTGGGGGTCCTTCTCCTCCTTGGCTCCGGCTCGCTAGATCCCGCAGAGTTATGTGGACGCTCGTGTCCCTTTTCGTTTCGCTTCTTCTTTCAACGACAATCTGCACGCTTGGCCTTTGCCTCTTACCGTTCTCACGAAAATCGGACGCGTATTTATTTGCGGACACGAGATTACTTCTGCGAGTATTAAATACTTACGTTGGTATGGGTAGTTTGAACGTCTTCTTGAACTAGATGTTTGGTCTAGATGTCTCTTTGTTAAGAGGGATCGAATATGCAAACCTCGACATTTTCAAATCCCCTTCCAAGGGTGCTTGGATCCAGAAGACCCGAACCGACTAATGCAACGATCGAGGGAAATTAGGTTGAACTCTGTAGAGATTAAAAGTTACGATTCGAGGGTTGATTCGTAGTTTCTCCTTCTAGAGTAAATGAAATTAATTTGTCCCGGTACACCCGATTACGGTGGCGAGCATTATCCCTGGTGGCGCGAGTATACGTCTAATTTTAGCATTACAGAAACGTACGGCGGCACGCGGTTAATGTGGCGAACGGCATTTAAATTGCCCGGTAAACTCGTTTTATGCCACCATAAAGATACTGATGTGCAAAAATGCAGGTGTACACGGGAGAAAGGGAGTCTAAGGCAGGAGGGTATCCAGCGAGACGACTACGGGCCCGGTACCTGGTCGCAGATAAACCGACCCATTACCAATATAGTAGCTCAGTTGTAAAACGATCGTGTCCGCGGCGTACTGACCGAGACAACGATATCTACCGCCCAACGGGGATGCAGTTTTTAGTGGCATCACCCGAGCCAGCGAACGATAATCGACCACTTATCCTACAAGTATACGAGGACGTTGTACGTGAACACCCTCGGTGCGTGCAGTGATTCGACGATGAAATAACTCGGGATCATCCAGTCTTGTCGTACAATGTTCCCGGTGCTGTCTTTGAAACGTGATGGCCATCTGTGTCGACTCTCGTAATATCGTCACCGATATAACACGCGTTCCGACGCGTCAAATATTGCTTTCCTATACGCATTTCCGTAAACAAAATTAACGTCACTAAGATCGCTCGAAGTCTACGATTGCCAATTTCTAATCTTCCTCGTAAGACCCCTCTAAAGTCACAGAAATCACGATACGTAATTACCTAGCCTGTTAGAGCTAAAATTCCTCTATGCTCCGGGTATCCCGAGGTGCTCGAACCCGTCTTCCTCGAAATCCTCGTACGTCTTATCCGAGGGCACTGCAAATGGGTACCAGGTTAGCGACGGACGTCCGTTGACTTTCTCGTTGAAGGGAAGGGACGATAAACTATACTAAACTGCGCTCCGTGGCGATGCTTTATTGGCTTTTATCGAGTTTTAACGCAAGCACACCGGATTCCTTTATGGAAACGCCGTTAATTTTACGACGCGGGCATATTTAGCCCGTGGGCTTCTCGTAAAATCATACTTCGGTCGCGATAAAGTTAAAACATCGGCAGGCTTAAAGCAAAGTTCGCCTCGTAAATATGACGGGGGTGGGTGCACGGGGTGGCAAAGGTGATAAGGGGCGACGGGGAGGGGGCACAAGTTCTTGCATCGTGCACAGTATATACGTGTATATACGAGTTGTGCGCTCGTTTATGTACGTGCAGCCGAGGGTAGAAGCGAACCATACCGGGGGTGGCTCAGCCAGGCTGCTTTCACGTCGTTGTAATTAACTTATGGTAATTAACGGAGTCGTGGGCGGCAAAAGATTTTTATTAGGCTTCCACGTCTTTTCAACTTTTTTTATTACGCCGTCTAATTGAAGTTTCTGCTACGGTAACGGGGTGTACAGGGGCCAGGCGGGGGGCCTCGATTGCCAACTTCTTTCTCTTTAAATTGAACTTATTCCGCCTATGAGTTTTTTATTCATGCCTAGGACAAATTAGTCCTTGAACCCTTTGACGCGCACATATTTTTATCGTTAATAACGTAATCGCTAGTTTTTTGAGGCTACGAGTGCAAGTTTTTTCCATAGTAAATGATGCGATCTCCATTTTTATCGTAACGAAGTCTGCACAATTTACTTTCTTTTATCGGGAGAACTTTATTATCGTAGTTGAAGAATTAATTATGTGTGGTTCGTTCGAAGATTAACCAGAAATATGTGTCACGAGATAAACCATAAAAGGTCGATTTAATTTTTACGAGCAGTTTATGCGCGAATAATATGTTCCAGCAAGAGGTTGACTTGTTAAACGATATCCACGAACAAAAATTTTGTATCAAGCTATGTTTCAAACTAACAGTACTTCAACTACACACGGCGTCTAAAATCTCCTATTGAAAGAGATTCTTTTGAAAAAAACACGTGCCCCGGCTCCTTTTTCACTGGCGGAGTCTTCGCGTAACTGCGTGCCGCGCGTCGAAAGGTAGCATAGTCGTGTAGGTGGTGAATAATGAATGGCAGCGTCGAAACAACTTGCTGGACCAGCGTCGAGGACGTGGATCGAGAGGACGAGCAGAAGAGGCGAGGCAACGAGGGTGCAGGGCGCAGTTACAGCGCGAGTTCCGGGTGAAACGACATGAAAAATTAACGGGCTCGCGTTTTGACGTTGCGTCAAACTTTCGTTGTACGAGTGATAGATCGTCCCGTGACCGTGTAGATTACTCTCGAAGCGAACGAACGCGAGGAACGTCGAGAAAAAGGGCACCGGCGAGAACATTAAAAGAAAAAGGGAGTCGAGAAAAGATTTGAAATTCCTCTTTTAACGAGTGCTGGACAAATCGGAATTTTACGAACACGAAACTCGTTCGTTGTTTCCCACGATTTTCATCGGTCTAAAGCTTCTTATTTAATTACATTTCCTTATGTATATTTCAATTAAATTACTAAGCAATTTCAAGCTGCCAATCTCCGTCGAAGACGATGAAAGTTTAACCGCGGTTAAATTTGTCGATATCGAATCCCATTGATATCGAGAAAGCTACTCGTCCACGATAAATTCAATTTATCCGTTCCGAAGTCGAACAGAATCGTAAAATCATCTACTTCCGTGGGATCCGAAGACGCTGAACTCGATACGGAGTAAGGAGGACACGGGAAATCTTCGTGAACGAGATCTTTCCCTTGGTTTTTTTCCTTCCCGACGCGGACAACGACATGAATCGGTAAAGAACACCGTGGACGTCCGTGACGATCATAATATATCGTCGACGTCTGGCTTCCCGATTTGTGGCCTCGGTATCGAATGTTTGATGCGGCCGCTCCTCTTCGACGTAGGTCCCGGATGCTGCGGACTATCTATTGTTCCTGAATAAACCATCGTGTGGCCGAATACCAACGGCAGGCAGTAACTCTTCGACTTCCTGCGCGATTACATGAAAAAGTCGCGTGTGCCGTTCCCTTTCCACCGCCCTTTTCGTTCGCTCGGAGACCTTCGGACTGGAAACCGTCGAATTTTTGCGACTCTTCCACGTTTCTTCGATTCTATATCCCTTTATATTGCCGTAACTTTCGACGCAGACGCAACGTGTACCCTTTGATCGGTAGAGGCGTATCTACATAATTACCTTCGGCGAACAATGCTGCAACGTTTCTTTCGGGTTTTGCAAAAAACGATTCGCTTTATTACAAGCGTATGTCGAAATCTAGAATTCGATGAAAGTATCTGTCGGCGAATTTCGCAACGCGTAGCGAGTAAACGGCGACGAGACCGTGCAATAAACCGCTTTCGACTCGAAACTAAGTAATCCTCGACGGTAACCGAGTCCCGGCCGTGTCGTATCCGAGCAAGGGATTCGCTGGAAGCGCGTCGAGGAGCAGAAAGAACGACAGCGATATTTCATTCGGCCTACGATCCCGCGAATTCGTTCGCTCAAAGAACTTCAAAGGAGTCTCGCGGGTTGCCGGATGTCCGGCTGTTCGCGATCGAGAAGAGAAGCGGCTCGAGGCGTATACCGAGTCGGCGACAACGAAAAGAAAACGACTAAGAATAATAAGGAGAAGAAGAAGAGGAAGAAGAAGAAGAGGGAAGCTTACAGTTCAGCCTGGTACTCGAATTCGTCCGAGGCTTGTCGGCTGGCAAGTACGACATAAGTCACCTACTAAAT